ATGCCATATCCCTAAGTTAATTTGTTGGGGGTGGGGAGGGGGTGAAGAGTGAGATATGATAGGTATTCAAGTTAGCATGGAGGTAGAGGAGAGTCAAAGAACCTGGGTTCTAATCCCACCTCTGCCACCTACTAGCTTTGTGACATTGAGCAGGTCACTTAACCACTCTCAGCCTGTTTTCTCATCTGTAAAAGAAGGAGGTAAATGAAGGGGCCTCTACAGCCCCCTCCAGCTTTAAATTTATGATCCTGTGATCTTCTGATAGGGGCAGAGAAGAAGTACAGACATATGGCTCTAAGAAAGGGTGGAGAGGGAGTGAACGCCATCAGCCCTCCTCCCTGTCTGTCTCTGCCTGCTGCATTCCTACCATTCCTTTCAGGGCCAACACAAAAGCCCCATGTCTCTGCCATTACATGCCCCAAACATTCTGCCCATAAATCCTGTCCATCCCACCGACTAGCTTCCCTCTTTATTTATTTATTTATTCATTTATTTATTTATTTGCAACTCAGTTCTAGGCTATTGGCACAGAATTCAAATAAATGTCCTTCCATCCGATATCACTGCAGACCAGGTCTCAGAATTTGCTTTCCTTTTTCAGTTCTTTTATGTTCCAAAGCCCTAGAGATAGCATCCCTCCCCTCCCTACACTATCACCTGTGTTCTACAAGTACCCTACCTATCCCTACCTTATTTTCCCTTTTCATGTACCTGTTGGCTTGCACACATGTTCACCAGTGTAAGGCTGATTTCCCTGGCTTCCTTTAAGTCCCAACTAAATTCCCACCTTTTCAGAAAGTTTTTCCCCATACTTTCTTAATTCTAATGCCTTCTCTATGTTAATTATTTCTTGGTGCAGTGATTAGAGCACTGGACTTAGAATCAGAAGATTCATCTTCCTGAATTCAAATCCGGCCTCGGACACTTGCTAGCTGCGGACCCTGGGGAAGTCACTTCATCCTGTTTGCCTCAGTTTCCTCATCTGCAAAATGAGCTGGAGAAGAAAATGGATCTTTGCCAAGAAAACCCCAGATGGGGTCATGAAGAGTTGAAACAACTGAACAAGAACAAGTTTATCCTCTACATAGTTTGTGTATCTATTATTTGCGTGCTGTCTCCCTCATTAAATTGTAAGTTCCTCGACAGCAGAGACTGTTTTGACTCTGTGTACCCCCAGAGCTTGGCATGGGGCCTGCGACATAGCAGAGACCTAATAAATGTTTTATTAATTAATTAATATGTTGACTGAACTTGGGAGTCAGAGGATCTGAGTTCAAATCCTGTCTTTAATCCTTGTGTGACCTTGGCAAGTCACTTACTCCCTGGGATTAGCTAGCTCCAAAGGTCCCTTGTATCTACAGAGATGTGTTAACCCAGCCTAAAATAAAGAAATAAGATAAGGAAATAAATTATACATATATATGTATATATATGGCTCTAAAGTCAGATGATCTGGACTCAAACCTTGGCTGTACCTTTTTCTACCCTTTGCTCCTGGGGCCTCAATTTACCCTTCTATGAAATGGAGAGCTTGGGTTAGGAGGCCTCTGAGGGCCCTTCCAGCTCCCCGTCAAGTAGCTGATGAGTCCGTTAATGCCCATGATTGTATCTTCCAACAGAGATCTCACGTCTTCAGAAACATTCACGCTGAATGTCTGTGTGTGCTGAACTCAGCCCCCTACGGCCCTTTCCCCATGGACTAGGAGGAAAAGTCCCGTGCCCCACCCCTTTGTGTGTGATGAATCTCCCTCTTCCTGCTCAGCCTTAGTGTATGTGTGTTAAAACTGCAGTTTTTCTTTCTCAGAGCCCCACAAGCTGCATCTCCGGCCTCCTGTGATTTTGTTGTTGTTGTTGTTATTCGGATCATATGTTCCTCTTCAGTAAAGTTGTGCCTTACCTAGAATTGTGTGAGCTTAACAAGTCTCTAAAAGCTGCCTTGGAGCCCTCTCTCCCCTTCCCCCCCAATTACTCTCTTTCCATCTCTTCCATTTGGCTTTGGTCCTATGATGCCCCCTATCCTCCAAAGCTTCCTTTTCTTCTACACACTTTCTCTCCACTGAGGCTGGGCCTGTTTCTTTTGTATTCCCCATAAGACGTTTTTCTAGTTGGCCCCTCCCCACCATCAGTCGTTCTCTGTGCTCCGTGGATCTCAGACAAAACCATTTCTTCCAAGGCCGTGAAGACCCCTTCATACCCCTAGTGGGCATCGCGCTCATGCCCTCACTGCTTTGCCTATATCGCCTTTTCTTTGGGCAGATGATCCCATTAGGAGAGCCAGGGGGTGGGAAGGAGGAATGCTCAGGCCTCCTTGGCTCACCACCAGCCTTAGCCACTTTAACCGTCTGAAAAACAAAGCAGTATCACCGATCCAAACGGATGCAGAGAAGACGAATCAATCAGTAGGCCTTTCTCAGGCACTTACAAGGTGCATGTGGCCGAGTTTACAGAGAACCGGCCTTGGGGCAAGGAGAACCCGGGTTTGAATCCTCCCTCAAACACGTACTGACCATGTGATTTCGGGCAAGTCACCTAATTTCCTGGTGCCCTAGGCCACTCTCTAAAACTCTAAATTGCAGAGAACGCACCTACCCTTTTTGGTACAAGGGGTTTCTCACCAGGCCTTGCTCTTGGGAGCAATGAAATCTTGGATCTAGCCCTTGTCCCTGTCCCAGCTGTGTGCCAATCCCTGTGCTGAGTGCTGGGGTACAATCGCTGTCCTCAGGAAACTTGCATTCTAGTGGGGCAGGCAGCACGTACATATATGGGTACGTACTGTTTTTGTTGTTACAGATTAAATATGAGGGTTTGTAAAGGGAAGGGGAAATAAGTGGGAAGCCTTAGTTAAAAAAGGACTTATTAAAGGCTATTGTGTGCCAGACACTGGGCTTCTTCAGAATGAATCAGGGAAAATAAGGGTGGTGGAATTCTGGTGGTGGCAGGGAAAAAGGTAAAATCCCTCCCCATTAGAATATAAGCTCCTTGAAGACAGCTGCTGACTTTAGCTTTTCTTTGTTTCCCCAGCACAGAGCACATTCCTGGCACATAGTAAGCACTTAGTAAATGTTTGTTGACTGCCTAATTGACAAGGGGATGATCAAATATGTGCATTAGAAGGATTAATCTGGCAATGTTGTGTGGGACACGTTGGAAGGTGTTGGAAGGCTATTCTAATGGTCATTTTATGAACCAGTATTAGTTGAAAATGGATGGAATTAACATTCTTTTCTTCTCACTGTGCATCAGCTGTAAATGGTCATAGGTGACATGATTCCAAATGCAGTGGCCAGGGCTGCTGAGATCCAAAGAGGTAAGAGAACCGTTCAGGGTTAGGGTGGGTCACCCAGTACAGCGCTGCTGAGGCCAGGGATAGAAAGCACGGGCAAAGCATGTCCCTGGTCTTCAGCACCTCAGAGACAAATTATCCCAACACACTACTGTGGCGGCTATGTAAACGGAGGTGATTGCCTCCAGTTACAACAGAGCCCCAGGTTACAATGATTTCTACTTTGAAGAGCCTCACTGATACTTTGTGGCTCAACATAAAGATTTCTTGTTTGTAGCTGGGGAACGAGAGACAGATTTTCCAACAGCTGCCTAATATCTCTGTCAACATCAGATGAAATAGACGTAGGAATCTCAGGGAAAAAAACGCGAACATTTTATGCCCTGTAATGATGAATTCCAATTTCCAGTTGCAGAAACAGGCATTGTTTTTCCATGTGTTCTACTGGGTTTTTCCAAATAAACATCTGGCATTCTTTTTTTTTTTAAAACTCATTCAAATGCCATATTATCTATCTATTCGCTTGTCTGGCTGTAGGATCAACAATGCTAAGGATAGGTTGAAATGCTGCTTTGTCCCAACCTCTGTGCCAGGAAGAGAGCTAAGGCTGCCTTGAGTCAATCATTGTCACCATTAGAAAAGAGCACATTTTGTTGGCCATAGAGGCAGTATAGTGGAGGGCCCTGGGTTCAAGTCTTAACATAAGACCTTGTGAAAGTTACCTCACCTGGAAAATGGAGATATTAATACTTTCACTACCTACCTTGTTAAGCCTCACCTGTCTAATATAAGTATCTGATCTGTGTTGTTGAATGGTGGTGAGTCTCTGATGAATTCTAATTTAGGAGAGTGAATTGAGTGAGTAGTTTAGTGAATAATTTAGTGAAGCACAGGGTGAGTCAACTGCAATACTGAATAAAGAAGGAATTAAGGAGAGTGAAGTTTCCTTTGTGGATGTCATCAAGTAGATAACAAATCAAAAAGATGAGCTTCTCATGTGGTAAGAATGAGGGCTCACCAAGGCATGGACTGCATGCTCCCCTGCTGTCCTTTGAGTGAGGAAGGTCACCAGCACACTGGATAGACTTACTGCGGTAAGGATAGGGGAAGGTGTGGACCCGAGTCCCACAGAACAGGCCAGCATGGATGGGTTGTGATCTGTATCAGAGGGAGCGGCCATGCTGCTGAGATCCCAGCTCCACTGAAATTCTTGAGAACTACCTGGGTGTGGAGAGCACTTGGCCAAACTCCAAGTGCAACAGAAATGGGAGATTTTAGTATAAAGAAGAAAATCAGTAACTGTCTTCATTTTCAGAAATGCGTTTGTACTTATGGGACATGAAGCTCTTGAAGCAAATTCCTGTCGAGGAGAGGGAGCCGCAGTGGGGAGCATCTCCGTCTTCCCTGATATTAACTACTTGAAGAGTTCCCATCTCATAATTTCTTGCAGGACTAAGCAATGCTGTCCCTAGGGGGTTGTTACTCTTCTTTGGAATAGCATCTGTATGTAGCCAGATATGGACATTTTCTATTCCCTTCTTCCCCCAACTCCTCACTTCTTGCCTAAAGTTGAGTGCTGGGAAATAATGTGGGGAAACTGATTAGGCTGGAAACATAGCCTTGGGTTAATGATTGTCCGAAGTCAGCTAAGTCATCATAGCCAAGGTAAATGAACTTGGGGCTGGAGAAATCAACTTTCTCTCCTCTCAGGGCACAAACCAGGCTCTCCATATGCTGGGGAAGGAAACAGACAGACCCATAGGGATGATGGTCATCAAACCCAGGACTCTTTTGAGATCAAGGTACTGCTCATTGAAATAACAGGTCAACGGAACCAAAGATAACTTTTGAATACCTGGGAGATTTATGGCAGCTTTCCTTAATTGCTCTGTTTTGGACTTGGGATAACAAGCCTGAGCAGTCTCATAACTTCTTTGGGGTAGTTATAACAAAATGCAGTTTTAAAAAAAGCTGAAAGAAAAACCCAGAGAATGTGGCCTGCCACTGGTGCTATCGGGTTTACACATTCTTTTGGTCAAATCCCATCCTTCCAAACATGCCAACACATAGAAAGACTGAGAGAATGTGATTAGCTTATAAGGTGGAAGCTGGTCCCATCCCCCAATACAAAAGTGGTTCCATGGTACTCAACCTGTCATTTGGTCATAAACCAATCAATCTTTTTCTCCTCATATTTGGCAGTTCTACCCACTGTATTCTTTGGCTACTCTGGCCTCATTCATCCAAAGCCTAACAGTGAATCCTATGGAATAATAATGACTGCCCTCTGGTTATGTTTTTCCATTTATAGCTGGAATTTTTTAGGCTGAAATTTCTCAAATTAGGCTAAATGCTTCCAACAAGTCATGGTAAGAAGCTCTCAACGCATAGCAGAAACTTAGGTAGATGTGAGAATCGCCCGGACTCTCTCTTGTCTGATTTTCATGTTGTATGGATTAGGGTTCACCCCACTCCCCGGTGAATCAGAGAAGGTTCAGACATCTTAAGTGAATCAAAGTAAACTTCCTCAGTTGGTTCAAAAGGATTATAGGAACTTTGGGTTATTAGACTAAAACAAATGACACCAGACAGGAAGGATCTTGTGATTGTTGGGTAAAGGAGATCAGCTCACACTCCTTGGGCTACATGTGAAAACAGCAAGTTAGTATTGACCCAGTCAGGTGAGTGGGAAAGATTCCAAATAGGAGAGGTGGGGACGCAGGCCATGGATTTGTTATCGCCTCAGGGGAGAAGTGCCTCCCACTCTCTTCTTCCCCAGCCTCATTGACTGTGTTATCAGACAGTCTCAGTTATTGGCAATAATACATTTAGCTAGGAGAAAAGAGAGATGGGCTGAGGCCAAACAGGAGATCTCCCAAGATTGAACTTGTGAACTTTGGAAGGTCAGAGTACCTGGAGGCCCTATCTGTGTGGGTATCACCCCCTTCTCCCAAGCAGCAGTGGCTGAGGACAGTGTCAGCATCAGGAATGGAGAGATAAATGGAGGACAAACTAGATATGCTGAAAAAAGACTGTACAAAGACACCGACCCTTAGAACCCAGGAAAGACCTTCATCTTAGGAAACCAGGCAATTTCAAAGAAAGAAAAATTACTTCCAGAAACCAGGAGCTATGAGTCACTCCTATGACACACAGGCTCCCTACATGTATAATTTACTAACATTTTAATCCAAAGTTTGAGCCCACTATCCCCCGATCTTGTGTGTGCAAGAGGAGAGCATCCCTGGTTTGTAAAGACTATTTCTATAACAACTCTTCTTGATAGGAATACCCTTTCTAAAGGCTAACTAAACCTGGTCAGTAAATGGTGGGAAGCACACCAGTCTGGCCTTGTGATTGACAGTACAAAAAATTCCCTGCCCCTCAGGGCTACCCTTAGAAACCAGAGGTAATGGGGCAGCTAGGTGGCACAGTGGATAGAGCACTGGCCCTGGATTCAGGAGGACCTGAGTTCAAATCTGGCCTCAGACACATAACACTTACTAGCTGTGTGACTCTGGGCAAGTCACTTAACCCCATTGCCTAGCCAAAAAAAAAAAAAAGTCAAAAAAAAAAAAAAGAAAAAGAAACCAGAGGTAAGCAGTCAGTCTCCTCTCTGGGGACCCACCCTATGAGTGTCAGGGTAATTTGGGGCAGTAAGCCCAGAGGAAGTGCGTGCTTGTGTAGCATCAGACAGCAAGCAACAAACTCCACAAACCTGAGTGTAAAACAATAGGGAAGAGAACTTTTAAAGAAAATATTCCATAAGAAAATGTGGGTGAAGCCAACAAAAATTCTATGCAGCAGTTGTAATCTCTGGGTGCTGTTTTCAAAAACTTTTTTATGATATTTCAATGGAATTGTAATCTTTTTGATCTGGAAGGTCTCTCCATCAGTGCAGATAATAATATCCATCATTATTATTAATAATTATTATATTATTAATTATAATTAATTAATTAGCTAGCATTTATGTAGCACTTTAATGTTTGTGAAGCACTTTTCAATTATTAGCTCAGTTGATCCTCATAACAACCCTGGGAAGTTGGTGTTATTATCTCCATTTTACAAATGGGGAAACTGAGGCAGACGGAAGTTAAGTGACAAGGCCATAGTTACATATTTAGCAAATGTCTGTGGCCAGATTTGAACTCAAGTCTTTCTGATTCTTGGTCCATCATAGCCATCCATATCTTTTCTTCCTATATAATTCATATCTACATGGTCCTAGAAATCTTCCACAAAAGATCTATCTGCTTTGCTGGAAGGCTGCTTCTAAGTCAGGGATTCTGAATCTCAGGTTTGAAAACTTGATATGTTTTTTAAAATATATATTTGAACATCACTTTCAATATAATTGGTTTCCTTTGTAATCCTCTGTATTTTATTTCATGCATTTAAAAACATGATTTTGTGAAGAGCTCCATGGGCTTCACTAGCCTAACTGGGGCGGGGGGGGGGGGGCATGGCACACACATACACAAAGGTGTGAATTTCCTGAACACCACTGCAGCCTCTGAGCTGTCCAACCATTATCCCTTGCTCTCAATACATGATGGGTCACTTTGCAAAGTGCCTGACATATAACAGGTGTTTAATAAACATTGGCTCTTTTCTTTTTTTCTCCTTTTTGTTTTATATCTCTTGTTGTGCCTGGGCCACCACTTGCTTCCAAAAGAGCTGATTCCTTCCTGGAGTGCAAGGAGATAGGAGAGGTTGTTCATCTCCTAGATCAGTGGGTAAAAAGGACAAGGTTTGTATTGGAACATTTCTGCCAGCATCTAGTTGTTGTTCAGAGGAGGTAGGGTAGTGTTAGCGCTTTTCTACTGTTGTTATCACCATGCTAATCACCATTGGTATCATGTAAGCCACAAACATTTATTAAACACCGCACCAACCATGTGGTAAGGTCTGGGCATGGAAATCCAAGCTTCACTCAATGTTAGAGTATTGGTATTGATTCAATGATGTCTCCCCATGTGGCCTCAGCACCATTTCTTCCTACCCACCTTGCCCCCTCACTGCCAGCCACTCTCCCTATACATTTAATTTCCCAGGGGTGTCCTAAGGCTTAGACTCTTGGGTAAAGCAGAAAATGGGCAGTCAAAAGAGACATTAAAGATGCATATTTTCCACTGAGTTCACTTGGGTTTCCTATTAAATACTGTTCCCAGCCCACTTTGGCATTGTTATTCTTAACATGTAAAATTAGCCACATAAATCTAACATGTGTTATGTTAATACCTGAGCCCAATTGCATCCCAGGGAGAAAATGGCAGATGCTTTGAATTCGTAAGCTCTGAGGCTAAGTCACTTGGACTTATATTTCAGATTTAGGCTGGGCCTCTCATAATCTTATAATTATGTTTTTATCACATGCAGGGAAATGAGAATATTTGCTAAAAGAACTTGTTTGTTGCAAGAACCTAATTGTTATGCTCTGGACTTTAGAAATCAAGCCTGAACAGTCTCATAATTTCTTGGAGGGTGATTATGCAAAATACAACAAGCTACCCTGAGAACATCATGGTTCCTTCTTCCTTGTGCGTGGCCTCTCACACGTCAAGTCACGTTCTCCCAAACGACACTAGTCCAGGCACAAACAGCTGGCAGGTATTTAGCACTTTACACATATTATCATTTAAGCTCATGGCCCTGTGAGAGTAATGCCACAAATATTATTTGCCCCATTCTATAGAAGAGGAAACTGAGGCACTGAGAAGTTAAGCCAATTGCCCATAGTTACATAGCAAATAAACATTGGAGGAAGGATTTGATTTCAAAATTTCTTTGTGGGGACAGGGGCCAGAGGGGTGTGGGGAGAGGGTCCTATAAAATGGCTCCATAGTGTTATAATGTCATTTCATCAACCTTGAAGTGTTAAATAAATGCCTGCCAATTTTATCCTAATCCTCCTCAAGCTTGGCAGTCCAGATACAGCAAAGAATAGAGTTCTGGACCTGGAGTCAGGAAAACCTGAGTTCAAATCCAGCCTCAGATATTTACTAGCTGTGTGACTCTGGCTGGGTAAGTCACTTAACCTCTGTCTATCTCACTTTCCTCAATTATAAAATAAGAATGGTTGTTCTGAGGATGAGATCATATTTGTAAAGTACTTCACACAGTGCCAGGCATGCAGTAGGTGCTATATAAATGCTCATTGTTGTTTAGTTGTCTCAGTCATGTCTGACTCTTCATAATTCTGTTTGGGGTTTCCTTGGCAGAGATACTGCAGCAGGTTTGCCATTTCCTTCTTCAGCTCATTTTACAAATGAGGAAACTGAGGCAAATAGGGTCAAGTGTCCTATAGGGCCCAGGGTCACACAGCTAGTAAGCATCTGAGACCAGATTTGAACTTAGGAAGATGAGTCTTCCTGATTTCTAATGCAGGGGCACCTAGTTATCCCATTATTATTGTTATTACACTCATATATTGCCCTAGTCTGAGTTTCCAAATGCCTAATGATCAATACTACTGAATGAGGATGGTAGCCAACATTGGGGGTAGCCTCCACCTTTTCGGTTGTTCAATCCATCTACAACTAGCATATTTTTAGGCTAACATTTCTCAACACAGAGAGAAGTCCCTCAATGCAGTCATGAAAATATGCAGCAAACCACAGACCCCCAAATTAAGAAGTCACATTTTTAAATCGATTCAAACAAATGAGATTTGACTCCATTTCCAGGTCTTCAGATCCTTGCTTGAGGCGTCCTCAAGGATAACAACTTTATAAAATGACCAACAGATTACTCTGTTTGCCTCAGTTTCCTCATCTGTCAAATGAGCTGGAGGAGAAAATGGCAAACCTCTCCAATATCTCTGCCAAGAAAACCCCAAATGGGGTCACAGAGAATGGGACAGGACTGAAGTGATTCAATGACAACAGCAAACATTTTCTTCTCATGGGATTTCTAAAATAATACATCTTTTGGAATGTCTTCCATCCCATGGATGATGGTGATTGGGAGGATATTTGGATACATTTTTCATTTGCATCTTTGCGCTGTCAAAACATAGGGTTGAAGGCTGGAGCCAAATCCAGTGATCTGGGGCTTGTCTCACTTCTCTTGGACTCGCCCACTAATAGGCTGACAACTGAGTGAGGCAGAGGCCTCATTGGCAAGATGGCTGCTGAGGACTCTCCCAACTCTAGGCAGGTGGTGCTATGATGATGCTACAGCAGAACAGAGACAGCCCTTAAGGGCAAGGACTCTGCCTTGTTCACTTTTGTTTTCCCCGTTGTGCCTAATGCAGTATTGTACATATATGTAATGGAATTTTTGTTGTGGAATAAATGAATGTAGGGAAAAGGAGTGACTGAAGTAAAAGAAATGGATCAGACTGGCTCCCTTGACTTCACTGTATGTCTTCATGATTGATCTGATCGCATATGTATATTTATATTGTCATGAAATCCAAAAGCCTTGGCCCCATATGCCCTAGATGCTATAGCTCAGTCCGTAAGCAATAGAAAAATTATGCAAACAACGTAGAGATGGGAGGGTAGCCATTCTGAGAGTACAAGAATGGATCCATTAAAACTAGGTCCATTGAGTTACTGGTTTCATCTATATGACAAACACCTGCATCAAAAGTGAAATATTTGCTTAAATCTTCCTTATCTTTCTAACATGCCCATTCTTAGTCTCATGTGGACCAAAACATCCTAATGTTTAAATGAACTTTTCACTTTTTGTCTTACTGTGTTGGCACTGTGTAGACACAGACACTGGTGTATCTGGAAATGTCAGCAGACGACAATGAGGACAGGGACAGGTGGGCACAGCTGGAGGCCAAAACTCTGAAAGGGCCTCCAGGGGCTTCCGTTTATATTTGGGCATAGATGGAACTGAAGAGCAGTGCTGGTAAAGCTTTTAAGCCAGTCAATGTTGGAGATGCATAGAGGAAGTGAGAGTGTGTGAGAAAGACAAGGATTAAAGGTGAGAGAAAACTCCAGACAATAGGATGGGATCTTCCCAGTGCTGAGCTGACCCTCCAGGGTTTTCTTCTCATATTTTTGTTGTGTGTACACCAACCTGCAGATTGGTCAGGATAAGAGTTCATAAGCATACATTTTTTGGACATATTCCTCATGTGTCTATGTGGGTCCACGGTCAAGGGTATGTATGGACAGCCTTTCCGCAACCCATATCAGATGAGGAAGCTGTGTCACAGGAAGAATCAGCCTCCAAGCTTGATTCACCTGGCTGGGCTCACTCCCTCACCCTTGGTCAGAGGTGCCTGGTGAGAGGCATCAGTACATGCCAAGAAAATGGAAGTCATCATGGAAGCTACATTGGAGCTCTTTTTAGTTTCTTTGATCCACTGGAAGATCTCTAACTGAAAGGAGGACCCCAACTGAATTCTCCTAATAACCAGAGCAGATCTCATGCTATGGTAGTGCTAACTCAAATCAATGGTCGTTTAAAATTCATGGGTCACACATTATCACTTAGGTTGAAAAATTAATCTTCAGAGCAGTAAAATCCAGGTAGTAGTCAATTACTTTTTGAATCCATTTAGAGGTGGCTTCCACAATAAACCCCAAATGCCAAGCACTAACCCATGAACTTGTACCCTGTCTGAAGTATGGGTTTGCTCACACAGATTAATAACAATGAGGAAAGCTTGACTCCCAGAATAACAGTGTTCAATGGGGCCTCAGAGGTTATCTAGTCCAAATCGCACCTGAATAATAATCCTCTCTACAATATTCCTAACCTTTGTTCTTCCAGACTCCACATGAAGACCTCCTATAAGAGGGGACTGTAATGCACTAGAAGGAACACTGGACCTGCCAGGCATTACTTGGAGCCTTGGTTTCCTTCTTTGTAAAGTGAGTAAGATTGTACTCAATCACAAAGGTCCCTTCCAGTCCTACATCTCTGGTTTTCTGAATCCACTACCATCCTGATGTAGTGAAGGTTGAATTTGGCCAATAGCGGCCATCCTCAAAGCTCCAGTGGAATATTGTGTGGAACACCAGGGTCATGGGGACTCATTGCTTGGATCTTTGCTGGATAAGAAACTTCCTGAATGCTTCTAACCATGAGGTGGCCCAGAACGGATAGGACTTTTCACTTTGGCATGACCTAGAAAATCCAAGTGATCCCTTGGTCCATGACTATGGCAGGGAGTGAGCACAGGATGCTTAATCCATGAAAAGAAAAGTCAACCTCTGGCCAGTTCTCTCTTCCTTAGACCTTGTTTAGCTTAAATCTCACTGGTAATTGACTCTTGTGAGACTCTTTTGTGTTTTGACTTTTCTTTTGTGTGTAGGAATAAAATACCCATCTCATATCTGGTTCATCTAACTATGGGACTTTCCACTCTGCCTTTTTGGGGATATCTAAGATTTGTCCCTTAAGCCTAAGGTTTGTGCTTGTGGCACCAGGGTTGGGGTTTAACAAGCCATGGAATGTGAGAAAACAGACCTTTCTTATTGGAGGCTGGCCTCTCCCCGGGACTAAAGATAGTCAGAACCACTGACATGGATTTAGAGAAGATGGTCCAGGGCCCAGACCCTCAGCCCAGTACTGGCTCTTCAATATTATACCAATATTATCTATTTCTATCCATCCTGCTCTGACATATTTATCCCTAATCTGCTCTAAAGGCTTTCTGGGACTTTAAAGTAGGCTAAATCTTTAGTTCTACCCAGGTTTCCACCATTAAGAACCACATTCAGATTTTTGTCACCAGAGGGACATTAATGATCTCTCATCCAGGGTTTTACATGCAGATTTTACAGAGTTGTATGAAACTGAGCATTGCCAATTTTGCTGCGCACTCTCTCTCTTTTTTAAGTACATTAGCTGCCAAAAGTCAAAATAAGATATACAATGACTTCTTCCCCAGACCCAGCAGTTGGAGGCTGCAGTTCAGAAAGTCTATGAATTAAACTGGGGATGGCGCTGAATGGCAAAAATCTGCAGCCACTCGTGTGTAATGCTTTTCTCTACTGAGCCAAAGCGAGGCAAGGGCTAAGCAAACAATGAATAAACACGTCTCATAGAAGTGACTTTGACATTTCAGCTAAGTTTATGCATTCATCAAGGCAAAAGTGTCCTAACACCCCAACCCCTACCCCCCAAAAGAAGCTGCCTTAAAGACCAGGACAAAATATAGCACAAAAAGCCATAGGAACACTTTGTTAAATGCATAGATTTAACCCTGCTGCTTTGCTCCTAATCATTATTAATTGCCTCCAGTGGTGGACATTAATTTCCCTACTGCAGCAACATGCATCTTGAGCGTGGGCAGATCCCAATACATCAAGTGGGACAGGTGATATAATTCAGCTGGTCACAGCTGGAAAGAAGACAGCCACCCACATGCAAGCAGTCTGTCAACCTCAGTTATACCACAAACCCTGCCACAGCCTCCAGAACAATGCTGCGCATGTATCTCGGGGGATAACTTTACAAGAAGTATGGCCGGTCAGCTCATCCCAGTTAATCTGTTATTGTCTTAGTAGCTGGAAGAATTGGGCAGGTGAAACCCTAAACTCTAACATTTCCCTTTGAAGGAGGAGAGGGATACCTGGATGAAGCTATTGACTTTGGGTTCAGAAGCACTGATGCCCAAGTCAATAAGTGATTAAAATATTCATTGGGAAGGATTTCTGGTCATGCAGGCTGGAGTGGGTTTTCCGAATCTTGCTTCTCTTCTTGGGGGCTAATAAGGACATATGCATTTTCTTACTGTTGGTGGAAAATTAATGTTGACATGAGTGTTTAAGGAATGAGCATAAAGGACTAGAAGCCAATGAAAGAGTCTTTGGTGGAGAGAGAAAAGTCAGCCTGGGTGGAGCCTTGTGGATGGGAAGGACTAAAGGCTGCTGGAAGTGTTAGCCCAGAAGCTGGTGGGTAGAGCCAAGAAGAGCGGCTTGAGCAGGGTGAGAAGCTGGGGAGATGGGCTGGTAGTACAGCTGGAAAGCAAGATGGCAGCCGGGACTCGGGCCATATGTGAGATAGGTAGAAAGGGGCAACCAGGCTGGGCTTGGCAGTGATTGGTGATGGCAGGTGAGAGATACAGAAAAGGATAGAGCTTGGGATGCTGGCAAGTAGAACATGAGTAGATAAAAAAGGGAGTTGGAAATTCCCAATATAAGGCATATGCCTGGCTCTGTTACTCCCTTATTCAAAATCTTCACTGGCTTCCCTGTTGCCTGTAGGATATGGCATCTAAAGTCCTTCCTAACCTTCTTCCTCAGTTCATTTCCCAGCCAGCACTCTCACCAAACTGTCCTACTTTGGCTCCCTGAATCTGACATTCTATGTCCATGCCTTTGCATGGCTGTCTCCCATGTCAGGAATGAACTCGTTCCTAACCTTCTTCTTAAAATGTAAGCTGCTTGAGGGCAGGGACTATCTCACTTTTGTCTTCAGCATCCTAGTGCCTAGCACTGCTTGATACAATTGCTTGTTAAGTGTTTGCTGATTGATTCATTGATTGCTTGATTAGAATCCCCAGAATCCTTCTAGCCCAGCTCAGAGATCACCTTCTATACCAAGACTTTTTTGAGATCATTATTTGGCATCAAGATGATAATAGCATCATCTTCCCCCTTCTCAAATTGTCTTCAGGTTACTCATCTGTTTACAAGGTACATTCCTCCAGTAAAATGTGGTCTCCTTGAGGGAAGGAAATTTGTTTTGCTTTGTTTTTATCTTCAGTACTTCAACAACTTATACTTGGTAGGGATTTCATAGCTATTTGTTGAACTGAATTAAAATGAATTGAAGTCTAGCAGATTTCTCTTCCTACCCATGGCCTTACCCTGGAAGGTGCTGCAGAAAAATTCACAAGTTGGCCATTTACTCCTGACCTTTCTAGGAGTCCAAAGGTCTTCTAACTAGAAGTTCAAAGGTCTTCTCTGAGATGGCATAAATCATGCTGAGAAAGAAATTCTTCTGAAGCAGGTAGTGGGTGGGCATTGTTGTATCTGATTTTATGGGTGATAGAAATAAGACCTATGTAGAAACACTTTATTTACTCGATATAATGAGCACCCTTAGCAAAGAAGGGGCTAGGGCTTCAGGTACCGTTTCCTGTGGCCTGTGTTCTATCCATCGAGCCACATTATAGATGCCCTTATGGAATTCAGTCTAGGTGTGTGAACAGCAACTCACTTTCCAAGATCTCCATCTTTGAGTGCATTCCTGCCTCTTGGACTATCCTGGACATACCTAACTGGTCACTTTTGGCTAGTGAATATTGTCCAATCCACCCTGCCTTCCTGACAGCAAGGAAAATATTCCAGCTGCCTTTGAGAAGTATCACTGGCTAAAGTACCCAAGGCTCCCTTCTCTGAGTGGTTCCTTATTTCTGTGTATATCTTGAATCCAATGGATTCCAGCAGATTCCCTGGACCATTGCTATCCAGTGTTTGTGTTTTGTTTGTTTGTTTTTTAGTTATTTGATTTATTAATGCACTTATCCTAGTGTCCCTAGGTGCTGGTACAAAAACAAACACTTGACTATTTATTCTTTGGAATGCTAACTGGTGGTCCCACATCCCCCCACCACCACTTCCATCCATCGCCCAAACAGATGGGCCTTGCGCTATGCCTGGAGGCTGAAGCATGTCAACTTGATCAAAGGAAGGCGTAAATTCTAGGGCCCTATTCTGGGAAGGTTAAAACTTTCCAAAGAAGGGAAAAGTCAATTCAATTCAGGAAACATTTATTGGGCATCTTCTAGGATTAAAGCCTGAGGTGTGGGGTGCCAAGGATCAAAAATGAGCCCTAACATCAGTCAATAAGTCAATGGGCATTTGTTAAGTAAGCTCCCTAAGAGAACTTCCATTCTGTAGGGGGATACAGTGTAGGATTCTAGATCTAAAGGGGACCTTCAAGGTCCTCTAGAGGCTAGAGAAGCAATTCGCCCCAAATCACATGGCTATTGAGTAGCAGGGTTAAGGCAGGCATGCTGAATCCACCAGATCCCCATGTATATGGCTAAATAAATACAAGGTGCTTTGAGGAGGAAGACAGAGATTTCTGGAGGAAGTGGCTTCTGACCTGAGCTTTGAAAGAAGCTAGGGATTTGAAGAGACAGATGTGAGAAGAGTGAGCATTCCAGGCCTCTGGGAACAGGCAGAGAGCAGAGTTGGAATGTCAGAGTTGGAGGAAAGACCTCCTGGCCTGGAACGTGGAGCACATGAAGGGGAGGGGAGAGTCATGGTCAATGAGCCTGGAAGGCAGCCTGAAGTCAGACTGCAAGGGGATTTAAATACCAGGCTGAGGAGTCTGCAGTTTATCTAGAAGGAATAGGGAGCCACTGAAGATTTGGAGCAAAGGAGGGATGTGGCACTGATCAGAAAGATGATGTTAGCAGGTGTTAGAGGAAGGGCTGAAGATGAGGAAGACTGAGATAGAATACAAGAAGTCTCCCAAAATTCATATCTTTACTTAAATATTTGAGGCATATAGGGTCTACACACACACAAATTTAAACTATTTTTTAAACTTCTGATTTTATTACTGTAGGGAACTCCCAGGTAAGAGAATCCCTCTCTGAATGCTGCTCAGTACCTGCTCTGTGACTTAGGGCCTTACAGATTCCCTTGGGGCACTGAATGGTTAAGTGATTGCTGGGTCACATGGCCAGTATGTATTAGAGACAGGACTTGAACTTCGGTCTTCCTCACCCTAAGGCCAGCTTTCTACCCCCTATACCACACTTCCCTTCTGATGCATTTTAGTCAATGGCTATCTCTCCTGAAAACAGAAACAACAACATAAGGAAGAAATACAGTCTGCCCAAGAGTGCAGGGCAGGTCAAGAACTAAAACAAGAAGAGATCTGAATCAGCTGTTCACCTCAACAAGCC